ACAGAGAGGGATTGTTCACCAATGTAGGTACGAACGGGGTCATATGTATTGAAAGTAATTTTGGCATGCTGGTGTTTTTATGTTGCCTGAGTAAGGAGCGGTTGGGGGGATCACGAAAAATTTGTAGGGTTGGTGGTGGTAGAAGGACGGGGACGTGTGGAAGAGGGAGTGTTGTTGAGGGGGTTAGCATTACGGAGAGATGAAGAATAAAGCTGTAAGGTAGTAATAAGGAGGTTGGAGTGTTTGATGAAGAAGGTTGTAGGGGTTGAGGTGATAATGAAGTTGAAGTTGGGAGTAGGGAATGTCTTCTGGAGACTGAGTCTCAGCTTGGGTGGGTAATGCACTAGTAGGCATTGAGGAGTGGGTAGTAGTTTCAATGTTCAGAGTCGTGGTCAAAGGAGAGCCTGGGGTTGTGGAGCCGGTAGTGTGAAATGGTGGGGCTATTTGATGAAGGGGTAAGCCTCATTGCCTCTAATATGAGTATTACTTCATTACTGGTCATGGGAAGCCTTGATTATGTAGGGAAAATAAACAGTCCACCCCCTCAGTGCCCCTTAAGGGGGTAAGGGCTAGACAACTAAATCACAGGAATACCGTGCCCATGGTTCCCGCAGGATGTTTAGGACTGGTACAAGGTCAGCCTTTCATCCTTTCAGCATGGCTCTTACACCTAAGAAGATAGTAGAAAGGGTTGGAGAAGGGACGGAAACAGAAAGCTGGAGGGAGAAAAGGCCATGCAAAATTAGTTGAATTGAGGGCTAAGGTCCTAGGCAGGGGAGATCCCTGCATTGGGTCTCAGTCTCCATCTCCTAAGCTCCCCGACAACAACGGGCAAGGAATTGGGGGGAAATGATGACAAAAAAAAACAAACTTTTATTGTATATTTATTTCTTCATCATATAATTTCATAGTGTACATACAATACACAATTGTTGTTATTAAAAAAATTAAGGTTTTATTTCAATTTCCATTTTTCAATCTAATGATAATAAAATGACACTAGCAGACTTAAAAAAGGCAACAAAGGTGAGGGTACAAGTTGCTGAATAAGGATGACAGAGAATACATGCAGTTACATAAAAGAGCTATTTAGAATACATAGATTTATTTCTCTTCACCCAAACAATGTTGTTAAAGTAAACCTCACGTCTATTACAAAGTACAAATACATGCTGCTGATCACATTTTCTGATTCCAGGCATTTTGGAATGTGATATGTATCTTGATTATTGATTATTCAAGATTATCTACCGCATCAACAGCTAAGGTCATTCTACACATCTAATTCTAATGGCTTTGCAGAACAGGCTGTGAGATCAGGTTAATACAAAAGCATCACTTTCATTATTAAAAACTGCTGTTCATGTCTTAAATATTATAGTACTGAATAATACATTGTAAAACTTGTTATTGATTACATCCTAAGGTATCCATATCTATCACTGAAGAATAATTATTATATGTAATGGACAGCTGTTAAGATTAAAAAGTTTCAAAATGAAAACAAAGAAAGGTATGCTGTTAAAAATTAATTATTCAACAAAAGCTCCAGCAATTACATGGTGAGTAACAAATAAAATATGGGATATAGAATGGATAGCAAGTAGAACAAGTTATATTATCCACAAAACAAATATGAGACAAATTCAGAGCTGTCTCTTGCTGCCTAATATATGTGAAATTAAAAGCAATTGGTAACACATACAGTAAGTTTAAGGACTTTCAGAGCCACCTATCTTCCAGGTAAATAAAACTCTCAACATAAACCTAATATGGAAAGTAACAGGTAACACAGCTTTATATGCTATAATATGGGCAGGAATGTTTTTAACTCATGAAATTTGTTATGGAAGAAATGTAAATATGGTTCAAGAATTGAAATTGGACCTTATATTTTTTGGGTCCTTTAATTATCATATGGTCCTCTTATGCATATACATGGAAAGGGGAGAGGGGAGGAGAGGAGAGGAGAGGAGAGGAGAGGAGAGGAGAGGAGAGGAGAGGAGAGGAGAGGAGAGGAGAGGAGAGGAGAGGAGAGGAGAGGAGAGGAGAGGAGAGGAGAGGAGAGGAGAGAGAGGAGAGAGAGGAGAGAGGAGAGAGGAGAGAGGAGAGAGGAGAGAGGAGAGGAGAGGAGAGGAGAGGAGAGGAGAGGAGAGGAGAGGAGAGGAGAGGAGAGGAGAGGAGAGGAGAGGAGAGGAGAGGAGGAGAGGAGAGGAGAGGAGAGGAGAGGAGAGGAGAGGAGAGAGGAGGAGAGGAGAGGAGAGAAGAGGAGAGGAGAGGAGAGGAGAGGAGAGGAGAGGAGAGGAGAGGAGAGGAGAGGAGAGAGAATAGTGAGAGAGAGAGAGAGTGTTTTTTGGTAAGCACAGTGATTCCCTGGAATGTATAAGAAAGACACATAGGAAATATCAATAACCCCAAAACAGTTTTGAAAGATATAGTGATTTTTAATAATTTTAACATGCCATATATCATTTAAAAAGAAGAAATGAAAGAAACAGAGGGAAGGGCAAAACTAAGGAGAAAGATAATTTAATTAGCTTTTCTTGAATAATCTTTTTGTTATTATTGCTAGGTAATTAACACACACTACTATTAATCAAAGTTTATGCCCAATAACATTTTCAATAATGTGAGGAAAAGAAAGAAAGAAAGAAAGAAAGAAAGACAGAAAAGAGAAAAGAAGAAGAAAAATGCTTCGGCAAAACCAAGGTACTTACGAAAAGATTTGTAACACTTTTTCCATTTACTAAATTGAACCAAAATATGATGCCCTTAGAGTATCCTGAGGGCTGTTTATGGTATGGAACACCTCATTATCAAAAAATAGAGGGGAATTTTTGTTTTACTTCTGATAATCATAACATCAATTATACAAATAATTATTAAGCCTCATTGGCTAAACACAATGATTTTACAGTGCACATCCCCTTTTTATGCCAGTCATTCTATGCAATATATTATGATACGATATATTATTAGCATTTTCTCTGTATATTTTCTTTAAAAATGGCTAAAAAATGACAATGATAAAAAAAAAAAAAAAAAAAAAAAAAAAAAAAAAAAAAAAAAACTAATATCTACTGTAAATGATGGCATATGGGTAGTGCTTAGCTTGAGTTGCCAACTCGAGCTTTCAACAAGACAATTGTTCACAATATACACTATTAATGTTGTAGGAAGCCTATATTCACAGACCATTTGGCAACTGTACTTTAAGAAACCATAAAATGGTGATATGCTAATATGCTTTACCTATAATAAGCATTTTTTTGGATATTACAATCTGGAAGGAAATAAGGCATTAATATAAACTGTATAACTTGGTCAGCCTTGACTTACTTGGCAACATGGACAGCACTGTGTTATATAGTAAGACTAGTAGTAGTTTGAGGATCTTAAAGGCTGCTTTCACTCCAAGGTGGCGCATCACAAGTGGCAAGTGGCAAACAACATGTGGTATGGTGATTTCAGACCAAGGTTACATGTGGCATGGTGATTTTAGACCAAGATTATACATGGCATGTGTCACTCGGTTAACAAGATGGCACCTTCAGAGGCTGACGATAATATCCTTGTCCTAACTCCTAGGTTATATTGTGACAATTGTTTCACTTAGAGGAATAAAGTGGACGACTTTGAGGGTAAATATGAGATAAACTTGTTCCAATACCATAAAAATATGAGGTAAAATATTTTGATAATTCCAACGCTTAGAGTATTTCTATTGTACTGAGGCGAGTTGAGTTGTATTATACAAACACTTGTATTTCCCCACAGTTCGTAAAAATGTTATGTTAATTGGTTCATTGTCTGGAAGAGGTAGTTACAAGAGGTACATCGTTTTGATTCCTCCTGCAAGACTGTGCATGAAAACCCTCTCTTTCAATGCCTCGCACACTGGGCAATTGAAGCTGTTGTCAAAAGTGTTTGGGGGAAACTTTCTAGACACTTCAAAAATACTCTATGTATGCCATACTTTCAAAAGTTTTCCCTTTTATATCATGTTATATGATTTTAACATTTTTATATTAACTTTGCTAATAAGAAGTTTGGATATAAAAGCTCCATCAAAATATGGCACAAAGTCTGTGGAAAAACAGAAAAAGAAAGAAAATAGAAGAAAAAAAGGAAACCAGGTAGATAGAAAAAGGTTAATTCACCATTATGGAATTACCTACATGCACTCTAAAAGATGGCTACAACATCTGTATTTTTATCTTTGTTAAAAGCATTATGTTTCCTGTGCTTTTCTATGCAGAATTATAATCAAATTTTGTCCCTTTCTATATGAATGACCATTCACAAGGAATGTAAGAGGATGCCCAAAATTTGCCCTTGAGTATTCTATTATGATGATTCCTAAACAAGAACAGAAACGGAAGTATGGCTTCAAAGAGACAATAATCTTATGCCATAAAAAAAATCATGGATGTTGATATCAGAAGACCCAAAAGTGCTAAAGGCACAAGTGTTTGTACATGCTATTATATCTATAGCATTTCTTTTTTGATTAGTGTAAGAACAAAAAAACTGCTTAAAGTACAAGACAAACATTTAAGTTTAAGTAAAGCTGTATGAAACATTGTAGTAAACTTAGTATGAGGTAATTTAAGCATTTATATAACTATAGTGGATGTATTAATTCATTAATGCATTTTCTGTTCTCTGATTACTTTTTTCAAGCAAAGTATGTTGTTAAAGTTAATATGGAAAAAGGCTTACTACACTTTAAAAAAAAAAAAAAAAAAAAAAAAAAAAAAAAAAAAAAAAAAAATCTTTGTTCAGTGGTTTTCTTAAATCACATCTTTGTGAACACACATCTCTGCATACAGAATCCTTCATTTGATGCATCATTACTGAGAAGTAAACATTACATTCTGAATAATAATAATCATAACAATAACAATAATAATAACCATAACAATAACAATAATAATAATCATAATAACAACAATAATAATAATAATAATGATAACAATAATAATAAAGCATCAACAAGTAATAACAGTAAGACATAACTTGACAAAGAAAATTAATGATACTATAATATTGAGAATAATCAACAAGGATATATCATACAAAGTCTCACATTCTGTTTCCAAATATTGGAATATTAATAATAATAATAATAATAATAATAATATAACAATAATGATAATAATAATAAAATGGATCAGCAACTTCAACTGCAACACCAGCCAGCAGAAATCCCTACTTGGTGTGACTGATAATAGTAGAGAAAGGAAAAGATTGCCTCTGGTATCTTTCCAAGCACTGCATTATTTACTTTATATTGTCACTTAATATCTGAAATATTTTGAGGAAAAATATTGTCACAGGCTGAAAATATATGTGAAATGACTGTAATTTAATGCAAAACAAATCTAATGCTTCTTTTTTATTTCAGGATAAATTGTTAACTGAAATATAGTCTATATACTCAAAAAGATGACAGATTTGAAAATACATAACATTTCCAAGAACAAGAACGAAAAAAACGAGAGAGATAAGAAAGAGTAATAATAATAACTTTTGATAAGAAGTTGAATGTGTAGGAAGTGAAATATTCCCTTGGTTAATTACAAGGGACAAGCTTATACTGTTTAGATGCACATATTTTATATAACAATTAAGAACACCACATATTTTTTCATCAACATAGGTCATTGATATTATTCAAGTACAGTAAAGCCTCGCATTTAGCAAGTACCTGGCATTGAAAAGAGCTCACTAGAAGCAAGTAACTTAACAAAGAACAATATATCAGACTGGGAGTGGAGGCACTTGTCTCCATGCAATATTGCTTGACTGGCACTTAAAAACTAATTTGATGAACGGAAGGAGAGGAAATTTTCAATGCTTGTTTAAGAATAGTGAGAGGGAGGTTACTGTTGAATTAATTTACCTCTCACCCAAGCTATGCTGGGCCTTCTCTTTCCTTTTCCTTTAACTTAACAACCTTTAACTACGTTTGTATAACCAATGTCAGTCAATACCTCACCTCCCCAAAATTTAGGGTAAATATCTACCTGCATGACCAGTCCCATCCTAAAACCAATACAGGTAGGATGGGCCTAGTACATGCAAGTTAGCATGCAATAGAGGGGTAGAATGGATCAGATTAATTTGTGGAGATAATATGGACACTGATTGCCATACTAGGTGCTAGGGTAGCAACTAGTTCAGATTCTCAAAAGTGAATACACCAAGTGAGAGGCTATACTGTAAAATAAATAAATAATTCCTTTCTTCTAGGACATCTAAATGAATAACCAAGATTTTCTTATCGGTTCAGAATCACATTTAAGGGGACCGTCCCTGGTGGTCTGGTGGGATTTTAGGTCAGAGTGGTCGAAAATGAGTTATAGTCAGTTTCATCTTCGTACATGAGTGTAGAATTACCCACATGAATATAAACTCCTGCAACAAAAAATTTAGGCAACCCCCGAGTCTCCTTGCTGCTGTGTCAGTGATTTTCACCATTCTGCACTCTCACTTTACAGGAGTGAACATGATGCCTTGTATTATGACACTGCTTATTGAAATGGATCACAGGAGAATAAAAGTGTCTTATTATAGCAGTTTCTTCCCAGAGTGAAAGATTCATATGAAAAGACAAAGAAAAAATAAAAAAACATTGTGACTTTTCAAATTTCTTTCCCATAAAATGAAGTAGATATGATTTGATTTTGACATATTCATCATACAAGTATGTTTAGGGTTCGATAATAATGCATGGGCAATTACATGTCTGTATCTCTAAAAATAAACTCGCAATGGATAGATATTTTTACAGGCTGGACGCTCACCTGCATCAATGGCTGTCTTGGAGAAGCCCAGCTGAAAGAGTTCTAAGTGTTGCCACCGCTTTAGAATTTTCTGATTACAATAATTTTATGTTTGCGTTTTCTTTTGAAACTAAATAATGGATCAACCATCATTATGTCATTAAAAATCCATTTTACAAAAAAAGTAATTGTAAAGACAGTGTACGATATAATTTATTTGGTAAACCCATAAGATAGGCCTACAAATATCTGATACCTATTGTTACATCATAAGACAAAGTGTCCACCACAAATGTTATTTCTAACAAACAGGAAACAATTCATTGTCCCTCCATAACAAG